ACTGAAGAACAAGTTTATGCCTCGAGTTGTCATACATAAGGATACTGTGAGCAGAATGTTGAACGACCCAGGAAGCTTCCAAAGAAAATGAAAGAAGTACACAGAGTCACTATACCAAAAAGAATTATCTAACACAGAAGATCAGTGTTGACAAAGAGGCAAAGGTGATGAAGGAGGAAGTTCAAGCTGCTCTGAAGGAATTGGCCAAAAACCCCACTGCTCTAGGAATTGATGGAATACCAATTAACATATTTCAACAAACAGATATTGTCCTGGTTGTGCTCTTCAGGTTATGCCACAAAATACGGAGGACAACTATCTGGCCACATAACTTCAGCTGGGTTCAGATCAGTTCCCCAATCAATACTCTTGGCACCAGCAGTCAGAAATCAAAATATCATCATTGGGAAAGCCTAGCGTTCACTTGGAATAATCCTTAGAAGAGAAGATGATGATACTTCATCTTACAGAATTTGACTGTGTTATCAGGAGAGACCAGGACCGCAAGAAACATCGTGCACAGTAAAGTTATATGGCAGGAAAAAAGAGAAAGATCCTCAATAAAATGGATTGAGACAGTGATTACAACAATCCGTTTAGGCATAACAGGGATTAAGAGGACGGCACAGGCCTTTTATTGTACATAGAGCTGCTCTGAGTTGGTACCAACTCGATCACATTTTACTACAATGTTACGTTACTATTCATTTTTCTTCCTTTCCTTGACTTTATGTTTAATTACTCAGAATTAAATTTTAGTATTTAATTTACCATATTTTAATGCCTTTATACATAACAGTCAGTTTCCATATTTATGTCCTCATTTCTTACCTCATTGCCATCAAGTCAGAACTCATTCATAGCTACCTTTCCAATTATTTTATAACTTCTCTAAAAAGGCAGTATCTTGAAGCATTTTCATTTTATTTACCAGGTTTTTTGGTTGTTTTTGTATTTTGTGAGGTTTTGGGGGGTTTGTGTGTGGGGGGTGGGGGGTTTCTTTTTTGTCTTTTTCATTTGTATGTAAGAAGCTCTAGTGGCCTAGTGGTAAGAAGCTGTGCTGCAATTCCAAAGTCATGTTGTTCAAATCCACAGTTGCTCTACAGGAGATGGTTGAGCAATCTCCTAATGTGTGGTTTACTGCTCTGAACGACCAGTACCTGAACATATTAACTGTATTAGTTCCCACCCAGTCTAGTATATTATTATATACTATAAAACAGTATATATAAAATATTATTGCAGAGCTCTGAACCCTTCTCTGTTCTGAGCCAGTCTCATTAATTTCAACACATCAATACTCATTTCCCCAGTTACTGTATCAATCCATCTCATCTGGGGTCTTCTTCTCCTGTGCTGTCCCTCCACCCTTCTGAGCATCATGTCCTTCTCCAAGGACCGGTATCTCCTGGCCACGTGTCCAAAGTATATGTGACAGAACTTCAAAATCCTAGCCTTCAAGGAGAGACTTAGTTTCACCCTTTCAAAGACAGACTTTTCTTGGAAGTCCATGGTATTTTTAAGACTCATTTCCAGCACCACAATTTGAAGACCTTGATTCTTCTTCTGTCATCCTTACTCATCGTCCAGCCCTCTGAAGCATAGCAAGTAATTAGGAAGACCATGGCCTGGATTAGGCACACTTTAGTCTCTAGGCTACGGGCATATGCCAACTCAGTATATAACAACAACAACATCATCATATTATATTGGCTGGTTTTTTATTTAAGCCCCTTGTTTAGCATCAACAAGATCTTGGGAAGGCCTTTGTATTTAAAAGTTGGTTGTTAGTGTATTTTGGAGGAACATTATTCTAAGTGGTACAGTACTCTTCTTTCATTTTGCTCTAAGGGTAATCTAAGCTTGCTGGGATGCTGAACCTCGTGTCACTGGGGTGTCAAATGCCATAACAGTTACCCCGGTGGACAGTGTTTGGTAGAGCTCCCAGCTTAAGACAGGTTTGGAAGCAGTGGTGGCATCAACTTCCTAAACCACATGCCTCTAGAAACTATGTAAACATTGAGAAACGACAAGAGTTATAGAAAGGCTTCAGGTCTTTTGTTGATAGAATTGCAATGAGTCATGCTTGACTCAATGGCAATCAACAGCAATAACAGCAAATGATATTAACTAATACTGTTTCCCCCAAAATAATGTATCATTATAATGCATCGTCTCATGTTTGTTTTAAGCTACAAAATGCACTACTATTACTATTTTGTGCAGTTAATGTGTATTTATCTATTTATGTACTTATCCCATAGTTCTTTGTTAGATAATACATCCCAGAATAATTTTTCTTTTGAAAAATAAAAGCCTCAATGTTTTTTGTAGTGCAGGAATATAGTCATGATGTTTCTTAGTTTTAATTGATCCATAGTTTTTCCCTTACTTTGGTTTTTACTATCTTTGGGTATTATTGTTATGTATCTTTGAGTCAGAACTAACCCAAAACTCACCCTCCAGGGGATTTTTAGAGGCAGTAAATTGCACAGGAGGAGATTATCTTTCTTCCTCAGAGCAGCTTGTGGACTTGAACCACATGCCTTTGGTTTAGCAGTGCAACTCTTTGCCACTATGAATTTTGAGTGATAATAAAGCCACATGGAGATGTAGAACTGTTTTATAAGGCTTTTCAGGCTGTAATCTTTGGGAGTAGCAAGCCAGCTCTCTGTCTTTTGAAGCCACTGAGTGGGTTTGAATTTTGAACATTGCATTTTGTTAATAAGTGCATGATTATTTGGAAGCAGGAGTGCCATCCACTTTCATAATAGCTTGCCTCCGGAAACCCTATGAACCTGGAAAGAGGATGAGAGACACACAACTACTGAGGACTCTCCTGCATAGGGTCGCTATGAGTTGCCTACAACTGGTCGGCACTTAACAACAACACATGATTATTATTCCATACATGATTATTATACCACCAGGACTCTTTTGGCTAATATGATGACATTTTCTTTTGGGACACTTAAAAATAATCAAGTTAAATCTAAACTAGATCTGGTTAACTAATGAAATTTGTTTTAAAAACAAACATTGAAATCCTCTTGTTTGAATCATTGAGGACCTTTGCAGGTCTTTGTATGCAAAAGTTGGTTGGGGAGATCATTGTTCTAAGTGGTGTCGCACTTGTCTGTCAATTTGCTGTTCTGAGGTTGTTATGATACTGAAAGCTGTGGCACTGGTGTGTCAAATGCCATAAGGGTTACCCTTGGTGGACAGGATTTGTCAGAGTTTCTAGGTTAACAGACTTGGAAACAGGATTGGCATCCACTTCTTAAATAATAGGTATTTGAAAACCCTATGGACTATACAGGAACAATAATAGTTACAGAACAGGGTTCAGATCTTTTGTTTATAGGTCGCTCTGAATTGTACTACACTCAAAGGCACTTAACAACAACAAGGAAATTTATGTTCTACCATTTCTGACAGATGTATGTTTTTAAGGAATAGTTTACAGTAATCTTTTTCATATATCTAATAATGGAAAAAAATGCTGTGCTAAACTATAAACAATGTTTGCAGTAAAATGAGGCATCTAAGCTTTATGAGAGATTTGCAGAGGCAAATTGATTAGGTTTGGGGGATTTGCAGCCAAAGAAATTGCAAATGAAAAGCAGAAGATGCTGGTGAAAAATTATTAGCAGTCAGCCATTCATTTTACTTCCATGGTAAAAGCAATGAAGCCAGGCAGGTTGTTTAATAAGTCAAGATTATTGTAAACTGAGGGAAGATTGCTGTAAAATTCTCTATCAAAATAAGACAATATTTTTATACCTAGGTCATTTAAATGGAAAGTATGGTAGATCTGGGAAGACTTTTGATCTGGCTATGAGTGCTTCTGCCTAAGGCCAAAACAGTTCCTAGGTAGGAGTCTGGAGTCTAATTTGTGTGTAGCTTCTTTCCTCTTTCACCTACACCTTTAACTACCAGAAGTGTACCATACACCGGAAAGGAACTCAGTAAATGTCACCTTGAACTGTATACTTTAACTTTAAATCGTTGCTCCAGTTAAATACAAATAACAGAGGAGGGGAAATACATTTTATGAAGTTTCTTTTGCTTTCTTTAAATGTATACCCTTTTTTTCAGCTAAATTTAAACCATAAGATCAGAGTTGCAGTATTTTAAACCTGGAAGAGGCTATATAGATAATTTATTCTATTCCTTTGACTTGATCTCATTTCAGAGGTGAAAAAAGAAAAATCTAAGCCACAGAAAAAACAACATGGAAGTTACCCTATAAATCAAAACCAATAGGAAACTCAGAAAAATTCAGATTTCTGAGTATTTCCCACTCTACTGTGGATTAGAAGTTTATACTAGCCAACTCTATTGTTAGGTACAGCTGTATTGGCTCCATTCAAAGCAGCTTTATGAATCATGGAAGGAAACCTCCCTCGAGCCTGCACCATCCTCCCAATCTCTGCTGGGCTGTAGCAGCCATGGTGCCATGTAGCATATTGCACCCCTCCCCCAACCCCACTTAAAGATTTAGTAATTTTTTTTTCAGTGCGGAAGGGTAAAAAGCGGTTTCAATCCTTTCTCTCCAAAGCATCAGATTTCTAAAAAAAGCTGACACAAAGTACTTTTGCAACAAATATAATACAAAAATGGCAAGACTATGCAAATAGGGCACAAAGCCAAACTTCAGAAATGAACTACAGAGATAAAGATTTAACAAGGTACCTATTCTAAGATTAGACTCTGGTACTGCAGTCTGTTCCCTCCTAGTGGTGTAGATACAATTTTGACCTCAAACCTTGCCCCTGCTGAATTGCACACCTGCACAGGCAAAAGAGAGTGAACTATGTGGCAATTCTCAGGTTTTTTTGACAAAGTATGTTAAGTAAGACAAGCTCACTCCACCCCCATCCTGTTCTACTTCAGTTTCAGAAGGAAATGAAGCCACAATGAGAACAAAAAAGACGGGTGACACTCTGCCTTCTGCCTTCTCCCTCCCTTCTCACCACCCTCCCCACATCACCTCAGGTTGGCTTTGGTGTGACATCCCTGTCTGCCTCAGGGAAGGATGATGCAGGGGCGCTGCAACTGCACACAAGTGTCACCCAGAAGTCACAGGCTTCTGTAAGGATCAGATCTGTGTGGACCTCAACCCAACACAATGGCATTGTCGCTAGAAGAATTTGTCCATTCACTGGACCTCAGGACCCTCCCCAGGGTCCTCGAAATCCAGTCAGGCATCTATTTTGAAGGTAAGTGCTTGTTGGAAAGTGTTTATAAAGTCTTTGTGCTTGGAAATAGAATGTTTTAATGGCAAATATAGGAATACCATTAGAAGAAGTATGATCATAAAATAAATATTTAACTAATGAATAGTCAAGATTAAATAGTGTCAGAGAAAGGACAAACTTAGATAGGACTCTTAGATAGGTAGTGATTAGGAAATGAGTCAAGTTTCTTGAGAGTTTAGTTAGTCTCCAATGATCCAGTACAATGGTAAATTATTTGTCTTTTGTTTCCAGAATTGACTAGAAATAAGTACAAAGTTGTTAGGGTTTTTTTAATGTTACTAGATTAGAAAACCCCCCAGTTTTCATTAAAAAACACTACCACAAGAAGCAATTATAAGAAAAAAGGGAATCTTTACCTAATTCTTTACCTTCCAAATGCTATTTATATAACCACTTACCTTACTCTTTCAATACTCCTAACTCCTTTAAATCATGACATTCTGGTTTCAAAGATGTAGAAATTGATGTGTATAATTTTCAGGATGATAATTTATTTTAAAAAATTGTTGAAAATTAGAGTTGAGTTTAAATTTTTAATAACAAATAATTGAGTTTTTGGTATAATTTACCATGTTAATTTATGTAAAAGAATAGAAAAGCCTCCATTGTATACCTAGCATCTTTAAACAACTTTAATTCATGCATGAGATGGACTCATTTTTGTGCAAATATATGACTTTGGTCACAAGAGTAACAGAATTGGGAAGGTAGTAGACTGAGGTCCAGGTAGAGACTTTAGCCAAGTCTTTACCTTTCACAGCAAAACAGTTGATTATATATTACCTTAGGAAATAAAAGATTTGACAGCTATCAGATCCAGTACAAGTAAGAAGTTGGTGCACGTTGTCATTAGTTTACAAGTGAGCTAACTACTTGGAATCAGAGTATGTTTAACATATATGAAATTTTATGAAATGCCTATGTACCACTAAAGAAAAAGAAACTCATCTGCCATTAATCGTATTTTAACTCGTAGTGATTGTATGTGTGCTGGAGTAGAACTGTGTTTCGTAGGATTTTCAGGAGTTGATTTTTTGGAAGTAGATCACCTAGAATTTCTTTCATGAGCCTTTGGTATGGACCCAAACCCCTTAGCCTTTCATTTAATAGGCAAATATACAAACCATTTATGCCCTGTAGTGGTGCCTGTGTTTTTAAGTTAGTCTTAAGTAATTTTTCACATCATTGCTGTTGTTTTGATGTAAATTTTTTCTTTATATTTAGGTTACAAAGATATTTTCTTATTTTTATCAGAGTTGACTTTTATATTTAACATTTAATTTTTAGTCCTTTGGATGAGAATGTCGTCAATAAGTATATAGGGATCCAATTTCAGTCCTTTACGTGTAATAAACCTGATTTTGACCATTTGTTATCATTGTTGGGTGTCAACTGCAACTGATGGTTACCTTATTTATGAACAACTGGAAGCTGGCCCTATCTTGTGCCTGCCTCATTATCCCTGCCATGCTAGAACCCACTGGTACAGTCACTGCATCAATCCATATTGTTAGAGCATCTTCCTCTCTTTTGCTAGTCCTCTACTCTCCCACGTGATGCTTTTTCCTAAGGATTTGACCATATGCCCAAAGTGTAAGAAAGAAGTTATGACATCTTCATTTTTAAGGAGCAGTTTGGTTGTGTTTCCTCTGAGGCATACTTGTTTGCTCTGTTGACAGTTCGTGATAAATTTAATATTCTGACATAGTCTATAGGGAGTTGCATTGCTAACCTAAAGTTGGCACCTGGGAGCTCAAATCCACCAGTAGATTCTCTGGAGAAAGATAGACACTCTCCAGTGTGAGTAAAGCCTATGAAAACCCAATGCAGGCACAGCTATGAATCAGGTTCAACTTTGACTGCAATGAGTTGACATTATTGTTGTTTTGTGCTGTTAAGTAGGGTACGACTCATACCCTATGAATAACAGATGTGAATTATGTTCTGTCCTGTGGTAACTCAGTACCATTTATTAAACTAACCACCCTTTTCCCATTTCTTGTTGTTACCTTGAAAGTGTCACATTTCTGTCCCTCCAGACAATGTTGTATGACTTACACTTTCCTAGATTTTATTAGGGTCGAAATGGCAACACTTTATCTTTTAGATTGGAAGCAGGAGTGGCATCCACTTTCTAACATGCCTCGGGAAACTCTATGAACTTTGATAAACATCTATAGTTGTAGAGGGGCTTCAAGTTTTTTGTTCATAAGGTCACTATGATTCATGCTCTACTCAAAAGCAAACAACAACATTTCTGAAATATTAAACAATATAATAAAAGATACCTAATTAAAAAACTGGGGAAAAAATTCTGCAGTCAAGTGGGAACAGCATTATAGCTGATCCTGCAGTGGTTTCAGAGGCTCTAAATCACATAGGAGAAGATTGCCCATTTTTATTCTGTGGAACCACTGTTGGATTGGAACTCTCAGTGAGGTGAGGTCTTTGGGTTATCAGCTCAATGTGCTAGGGACTAGGCCCTAGCAGAATCCTTGCCTCCAAGGAGCAGCCTGGTTTCACCCTCTCTAGGTCAAACTTGTTTGTTACCTAAGCAGTCCATGATATTCAGTACTCTTCTCCTACACCACAGCTCACCAATTCTCTTTTTAAAATTAATTTTAATGAAATTATATAGCTTCTATTCTATGAGGCCAATTTTCTTTTAAATTTTCTGTCATTATCTTTCCTAGAGGAAAATAAAATCAACACAGTAAATTTATAAGTCAATTATTTCTATTTCAAAGTTGATTTATCTCTTTATAGACATGTATAATGACAGTTGTTTGGTGGCATTGTCTTTGTTCTTTGTTTTAATATATGATGAGTCCTTAAGGAATATAACTGGAATTTATAATGAAATTTATTGATTTTATAGTTAATTAGGAAGAGTTGACATTTCTATGTTAAGTTTTAGGGAATTCTGATGACTTAGTGGTAAGAGTTGCACTGCCAACCCAATGGTATATGGTTTGAATCCAGCAGCTGCTCCATGGAAGAAATATAGGCAATCTTTTCTCAAGCAATTTCTTGTTTCTGAAAGCCCACTGGAGGATCACCTATGAATTGGTTCATACTCTGTGGTACACAACAACAATAACAAATACAATGAGGTTTTACAAGAGAATAGTTATATCTTTTCAAGCTCAGAAGACCTTTTATCGGTTTGTTGCTGTTGCTATTATGTGATATTGAGTTGCTTGTGACCCTACGTACAACAGTTCTGAACCCTGCTCTATCCTGTGCCAAACTTACTGTCTCAAACTACCTACCACCATTATTCCAGTCACTAAATCAATACGTCTCATCAAGGGTCTTCCTATCTTGCACTGTTCCTCTATCCTCCCAAGCATGATATCCCTTTCCAAGGACTGGTCCTTGCAACAAGCCCAAAGTATGTCAGATGAAGCTTCAGAATCCTTGCCTCCAAGGAGCAGCCTGGTTTCACCCTCTCTAGGACAAACCTGTCTGTTACCTTAGAAGTCCTTGGTATTTAGTACTCTTCTCCAGCACCCCAGCCCACCAATTCTCTTTTTTAAATTAATTTTAATGAAAGTTTACATAGGCTTAGGGTTTCCATTTATTCATTGTTGTACTTTTCTCCCTGCCCCCCTCATTCTCTCTTCTCTTTAAAAAGTAAAAGAAAAATTTTTTCATTGCTATACTTGGACCAGGAGATAGTCATCAGAACAGAGCAAGGGAACACTGCATGGTTCAAAATTGGGAAGGGAGTACGCCAGGGATGCATCCTATCTCCATACCTTTTCAACCTATATGCATAACAGATTATCCAGGAGGCTGGGCTCTATGAGGAGAAATGTGGGGTCAAGATTGGTGGACGATTTATCAACAACCTGCGTTATGCAGATGACACAACTCCACTTGCTGAAACTGAAGAGGACCTGAAGCACCTGCTGCAGAGGGTCAAGGACTGCAGCCTCCAATATGGATTGAGGCTCAATGTGAAGAAGACAAAGATTTTCACCACTGGACCAACTGGCAGCATCAGGATGGATGGTGAAGAGATTGAGATTGTACACAGCTTTAGTTTGCTTGGCTCCACAATCAACAGTCTTGGCAACAGCAGCCAGGAAATTAAAAGGCACATTGCCGTGGAAAAGTCTACTGTTAGGGACCTCCCCAAAGTACTGAAGAGCAATGGAGTCTCTCTGGAGACTAAGGTGCGTCTGATACAGGCCATGGTCTTTACAATCACTTGTTATGCATCAGAAAGTTGGACAATGACCAAGGAGGATAGAAGAATTGATGCCGTTGAGCTGTGGTGCTGGAGAAGAGTACTGAGAATACCATGGACTGCTAGGAAAACATATTCGTCCTGGAAAGGGTTAAACCGGGTGGCTCCTTGGAGGCAAGGATTCTGAGGCTCGGTCTAACATACTTTGGACATGTTGTGAGGAGAGACCGGTCCTTAGAGAGGGACATCAAGCTTGGGAGGGTGGAGGGACAGCGCAGGAGGGGAAGGCCCTCTATGAGGTGGACTGATTCAGTGATTAGGATAATTGGGATGGGAGTGTCAGAGACAGTGCGATTGGCACAGGACAGAGCAGAGTTTAGGGCTGTTGTACATAGGGTCACTATGAGTCGCAAATCACTCGACGGCACACAACAACAACAACAACATACAATCCCTCCCCCCCAAGTCCACTACATTGTGCAGCCTTAATTCTGGACTCCTGTCATGACAATAATACCCAATCATATATCCCTTTTACACAGTCCTCTCCCTCATCTGTTTCAATGCAGTATACAATATTTATCCCCTCTTTCTCAGACTTCCCTCAACCCCTATGTCAGTTCCATTTTACAGTAGTGGCCCTATGAAATATTTGTCCTTTTGTGACTGAGATAATTCACTCAGAAATGAGGGTCACTCATTTTGAATAATATTTCATGAGTTCCTTATTTTTCAATGCAGCATAGTATCCCATTATGTGAATATA